GATGGATGGATGGATGGATGGATGGATGGATGGATGGATGGATGGATGGATGGATGGATGGATGGATGGATGGATGGATGGATGGATGGTTAGCTTTAGGCTTTTTTGTACTAAAAGCTAAAACAAGTTTGAAACAGTTAAGCCTCTTGGTAAAGTCACCTGCAGCTGATGTTAAAAAGTCATTAATAAGGTTTGAATGGATGATTAATTAGACAGATTTTTACTAGTTTTTGTTATAATTAATTTTGACTATGCCATACTAATTCTAATAAAAGACACTTTGCCATGCAGACGGGTTCCTACACATAGCACTATTAAAACAACTACTGTAGCTGCAGACAGATTGCCTTCAACCACAGAAATTAAAGTCTGGTTGTTTTGTTTTTTTAATTTTATTGTTTAGTGAGGGGTACCATGTTCAGATGATTGAGAATGTACTCCAGTTTATCAAACATGTACTCACATCTGCTCACTGAAAACGTCCATACAAAATACAAATACTATATAAATGTTTCATTTGAATGCACTGATCCTGGTTCAGCAGCACAACAGACTGACGTGTCTTTCAACCTTAAACACGTGTCTGTGACAAGATCTTTTCAGCGCAGGGCAAGTAAAGAATGAAGAAAGATTTTAGGAATAGTCAGGAAAAAAGTTTATGACACTTGTAATTTTTTATGTGGTGTTTTGACTAATTTAATTTGACCTTCACACAGTTTTTATCACCTGGAGAGGAAAGTTTTGTCCTTTACAGCCTAAATGTTTCTGTAACTCAGAGATGTAAGGGTTGTAAAGTTTGCATACTTTGAACAGATGAGAAGATAAAACAAACACGAAGAACATCCCAGGCAGAAACATTCAGACGGCTTTTGAGTGACTTCAAAATAATAATTGCTTTGCCCAAAATATGATCTCATTTAAATGAGGTTCTTCACCCAACAAGCCGCGCATCACCATTTAACTGGTGGGGAGACGGAAGCGTGCTCACCCAGCATGACCTTTCAATAGATGGAAATCTTTCTGCGATCGGTCTAACCAGAGAGCAGTTCAAACTTATCGACAGCCTGATGAAGGACTAGCGTGCTGACATACACAGAATGCCCAAAAGGAAGAGTGCTCTCGTTGCCCTCTTCCATGTGAGACTGAGACCACTGTACTGTAAACAGCTGAGGGCCTCTCTTTCTGGCCTGTCTGACTGAGCATTAGAGAGTACTTCCCGCCGTCGCCAGCACCAGCACGCCACAAAGGAACCTCTGTGGCCGACCACACTGAAGTGGCCACTGTCTTTTTCCTGAGACTCAGGGTGTCTCACAAACTTTTTTCATGCAAGTTTCTTTTCTTTTTAGCTCCCCCTCCTGATTTTAGAGGCCTTTTTCTCTGCTGTTCCTCTGTGCGGCCCATACTTAGAGGACAGAGACAGACACTCCAACCAGCCAAAGGTTTGTCTGGCAGTATGGCCAGCTTTGAGCCGGAACAAAAGCGCACTGGTGCTTCCCCACTCTGCACCTCACATCTTTAAAGAAAAAAAAAACCTTAAACTGACTCCCACATTCTCTCCAACTCCCTCTTTCACAGTTATCTTCTACGTTTTTTTAATGAGAAAGCGTTAACTTCAAAGAGCAGACTTTGTTTTGTGCAGTTGGTACACTGCTAACCATGACCTGTTCCAAAGCTTGTTTATCAGAGTTTAGGGCGTGCTTCAACACCTAATGAAAATAAGAACCAAACATTCCTGTCTGGAGAAGATAAGTCCCATATCGATGAATGCAACTATACCATTTACTTCTAAACTATGCAATGATAATGGGTCACAAGCTGAGAAAGTTTAAAAGCTGCACATGCATGGTGACTGTTAAAATGTATTTTATCAATCGCCGCTTCTAAACATCTTTAGTGTGTGTGAGGCTATTAAAGATATTTTCATAAAATCTTTGAGTAAGCACTAAAGTTGCAACTCATTTTCATTATCATAAAAAGACCTGAGCAGCACGGTGGCGCAACTGGCAGAGTTGCTGCCTCTCAGCGAGAAGGTTGCTGGTTCAAATCCCAGTCCGGGGGCCTTTCTGGGTGGAGTTTGCATGTTCTCTCTGTGCATGCATGGGTTTTCTCCGGGTACTCCGGTTTCCTCCCACAGACCAAAAACATGCATGTTAGGCTGATTGGTGACTCTAAATTGCTAAAAAAAGAGAGATGAAAGTCGACCAAGATACCCAAATATTTATAGGAATAAAAAAAAAACTCAAACTCAAAATATGTATTTAGGTTAGGCTAATTATCGTATTTAAAAAAAATAAAAATACGTAATGGCTTGAAATTTTATTTTATTTTTTTAATTGGTGTACATCAGCCATTTGCTGCCCTGACTTCTAAAAATCATCACTGGCTGGCCAGAGAAAAACTCCTAATGCACGCATGCGTGGAGAGAACAACCAGTAAGGCCCCAGCCAGGATCCGATCCGGCCACCTTCACACTGAGAAGAAACAGCTCTACTAACTGAGCCACTGTGCCAATATGAAAATTAAAATAAATATTGCAAAATGTTCCGAAAAGTTGCAGGTACAAAGTGCCTGCAGAATAACGACTAACTTGGTACTCAGATGGACTCCCTCCACAACTCTAAAGGCCCACAGCTAAAGTGTTTTAAACTCAGTAGCGTTTAAAATGTGGGTTTGTTGCAACTGATATAATTGCAGATGTATAAAATTAACATTACAATCATATTGGAAATGAGATCAGAGGTACAGCACAGGTGAAACGAAGGAGAAACTATGAGACAAAGTTAGAGAGGCCAAACTGAGATGGTTTGGACATGTCCCGAGGAGGGACAGTGGGTATACTGGTATAAGGATGTTAGAAATGCAGCGGCCTGGAAAAAGACAAAGAGGAGATATATGGATGCAGTTAGAGAGGACATGGAGGTAGATGGAGTGAGGACAGAGTGAGATGGAGGAGGATGACTCACCGAGCAAACTCCTGAAGAGGGAACAGCCAAAAGAAGAAAACTGCAAGCATGCGTTTTCCTAATGTGGTGCAGCTCTAGCAACGTCAGTGTATGACAGGACTGGCGAACCTGCGGCTCTTTGATGGCTCCTTTGCGGCTCTTCTTTTTTTTTTTTTTTTTTTTTTAAATTGGTGTTTAAAAAAATTATTCTGTGACAATAATGAAATTTCCCACACTCCTTGAAGGTAGCACTGGCAAAAGCAGCGTAACGTGCATAATGCGCAGGTAGAATTCAGTTAAACTAGCGCTACTGACCGGATCTTCATGGCTGAGTCGGGAAAACGAAAAGCAAAGCGTCAATATGAAGCGGCGAACAGAACATTTCTACCTGAAAGGGAAGAGTTATAATTTTTATGGAAAAAAATTAGAGACAGTTTAGTTTACTTTGCCAGACTTCACAGTCTCACTTTAAAGCATCAAACTTGGAGCATCATTTTCACCTCTATTCATCCGAACATGGCCAAAGAGTTCCCCAAAGGTTCGACAATTCGTAAGCACAAGGTAAACTGCTTGAAAACTCAAGTAGAGAAGCAGACAAAACGTTTCCAGAAACTTATGGAACACTCGGAGATTGTTACATTGGCATCATATCAGGTGGCGTGCAACATTGCTCGCGCTAAGAAGCCATGCAGGTGCTGGTCATAAAATTAGAATATCATGAAAAAGTTCATTTATTTCAGTAATTTCATTCAAAAAGTGAAACTTGTATATTATATTCATTCATTACACACAGACTGATATATGTCAAATGTTTAGTTATTTTAATGTTGACGATTATAACTGACAAATGAAAACCCCAAATGCAGTACAGACGAAGCAGCCTTCCAGTTGGAGATGACTGAACTTTGTGAGGGTGACAGACTGAAATGTGTTTTGAAAGAAGAAACCACAGTGCTTTGGAAAATTGTGCCCACAGACAAATATCTCAATGTAAAACAGGCTGCACTCAAGCTAAAGTCAATGTTTGCATCAACATACGTCTGTGAATCCGTTTTTTTCTACACTTGAGCAGGTGAAGTCTAACATCGTTCTGTTCTTACTGACACGTGTGAAAGAGTTGCTTCGAGTAGCCACAACAGAGTACAAGCAAACTTGAAGACACTTGTAAAAAAATAAAGACTGTCAGGTGTCCCACTAAGGCCTAAGGGATTAAGAAAAAGAACTAAGGACTAAGAAAAAAATAGTTTGAGCAATATGTGTTTATGAAGCTAATCTCAGAATTGCTGTTTGGCTCTTTAAGGTGACGATGGGCTTAATTTGGCTCTTTATGCTGAACTGGTTCGCCACCCCTGGTGTATAACAAGGATGTGAATGACTTCAGACAAGATAAAGAGCAAAACTGTGGCACCAGATCAACAAAGAGCTAAATGAACCTCTTGAATTCTAATTCACTAATCTGCAAGACTGAACGAACGTTTGTCGCTCTGCAGGGCAGAACTGCAGGTTGCACCTGAAATACTAGTGTTAAATGATTTTCTCTGTAATCTTGTTTTCTCCGTGCTCACCAATCAAATCACATCAGCTTAAAGAACACTACAAATGCACGATGCCTAAACACCTCGTTAGCATCACTTCATAGATATAAAAACAGTAGGAACATTTATGTTGACAAGTAATACAATTTTAAAAAATAAACCAGCTGTGCTGTCAAAGTCAGACACAAAACTCAAGTGTTGCCTGAGAAACCTTCTGGGAAACAAACAGAGAAATTTGCTCATTTTCTTTTGCCCTCATTTCAGCTGAAACAGAATAAAAGAACCACAGAGCTGCAGCTCCACACTGAAAATGTCAAGTTCAATAAAGATGCAAAGGGTTCAAAAAGAAAGATTGGAATGATTATTTCAGTGAACGATTGTTAATGTTGACAGAGAATGTGTTGCCGTTTAACTGGAATATTCTTTCATGTGTGTTCAACAAAAACACATCCCTCTCAATTACTATTTGCGAGTGCTTTGTTGCCACATTCTACGCTTAAAATGAATGAAATGGATGTAAAGTACTCAAAAACAAAGTTGTTTGTTTTCTCCCCCGTAACAGAACAATAATGAATCGTACCAACAAAACTATCACTGGCACAACACCTGCATTGTTGATTATGTTGAATCTGTTTTCAAGAGGAAAATTAAAGAGTCGGGGGGGGGGGGGGGGGTGTGTCGTTTATGGTTTTGCTGCATCAGTCCTGATGTGTTGCTTTGTTTTGTTCTCGAGGGATTTTACAAGTACAATGTTCGTGTGATCTTGTGTGAAGAGAAATTTCTTATTCTTGCATTAAAGTTGAGATTTTTTAAATTGTTTCAATAAAGTAATATAATGTCACTGTGTTTTTTAAATTGTATTTTAAAAAATGTAATGTATGTATATATATGTGTGTGGTGTGTGTGTGGTGTGTGGGTGTGTGTGTGTGTGTTTTAAACCCTTCCCTCACGCTTGCAATATTCTAAACAACATTTCTAAACTCTGAACACTTTAAGAGCATAGGATTTCATGATTTCAGCTCCCTGCTTCCTTTGCAAGCGCTCTTGGCCACGCCCACTTCTCCGCTCTGTATGCCGAACAGCTGATCAGCTGCAGCAGGAAGTTTATCCTTAAGTAAGGGCTGCACACAGCTGCAGGAGGAAGCCTTTTCTGCAGCTCTGGGCTGCACAAATGTGTAGCATGTGCTAAATAATTTAAAATAATTTATTTTAAATAAAAATTCCATGCCGATCGTGCAGCTCATCCATCAATCAGACAATTGTGAGTCATGTCCAATTTTATTCTGAAAAACCGCGATCGAGCGAGTCCGCGATAAACGAACCGCGAAGTAGCAAGTGACTACTATATATAGAATTAGATCTCAGTTGTATTGAATTTAAATATACTGATTTTAAATTCAAATAACTATATAATTAAATGCATGTAACTGAATTTTAAACAGACATCTTTACTTTTTGGGGGTACAAGTGTCCTGAGGTGACTTGTTTTGAATTAATGCTACATTTAAGGAGAAAAAAAAAAAAATCGTAATATCCTTAAGAAATGTACTAAAACAAATGTATGCGTGGCACAAAAAGAAGTTCATTAATTAGGCTGGTGGCATTTCATGTAACACTCTCCTTGACCTGTGAGTCAAAAAGTTAATGTCAGACATTGAGTGATACTGTTAGTTATCACAGTCAATACTCGGTCATTAATAACCCGAGGAAAGGCTTGGTGGGGTACAGAGTTAGAACAGAGCACATAGTGCATGTGTAATGCTGCAAAGCTCTCATCTTTAAACTCAAATAATTGTATTTTTATTAAAAAAACAAGTATTTTGTCATGTTTAAAATGATATAAAAAAGACTCAACAAAACTGCTTTGTGATCTAACTGGTGGCAACAGAAGACAACACTAATGCAGATCATTGTACACATAAATTAGTAATCCCAAACTGTTTGTTGTTCAATAATTTAACTAATCAGATTCAGTTTAAAGGAAGGCTGATGTAACCTTTACAAACAAAAACAAAAAACTGCCAAATTGTTATCTAAATTATATTAAGTGATTCAGTAGTTGTAGCGGCAGAGAGGATTGTGCCAAAAACATTAATGTGAGCTTTGGGAATGTGCACCATTGACAAAATTCACCATCAATTCTTTGCAAAAGCCTGCTGTCCTGTAAATGCTGATTAAGAGAGTTTTGAACAGTTTTCCATGAAAATAATTGGGAGGACTGCAGATCAGACACAACAACAACCCATATGTCACGTTGAGCAGGAGGAATCCTTACCAATTTCTCATCAACTATAATAAGTTGCGTGTCTTGTTCTGTTTTCTCTGCCAGCTTCCTTGCTGATGTACTTGCAAACCTGAAAGAAAGAAAAAATAATTAGACTTTACACTCAAAAGGCCCAAAACAAAGAAGTAAATCACACAAACAAATATCACTCTGCAACCAGTGAGTCTTAGAGGACACAGTGGGGTGAGGATACAGTGAAAAGGAAGGAATCCCCCCCACCACCCATTAGTTCTGTCTGGTGAATCTCTGGCAGACGCTCGCTCTCATCCTAATGACTGGACGTGCTTAATGCTGGCTGTGGATAAGTCAGGAGAGGACTGTGAGGCTCTTTGTGAAACGCAGCCGCATCGTGACACTAGGCAACACAATGTCATTCCATCTCAGACAGGGAAGGGCACATTTTGGATTATCCATCCATCCATCCATTTTCTTTACCCGCTTATTCCATTTTGGGTCACGGGGGTCGCTGGTGCCCATGTCCAGCAATCACTGTGCGAGGGGCGGGGTACACCCTGGACAGGTCGCAAGTCCATCACAGGGCCACACAGAGACAAACGAGACAAACAACCATTCACTCTCTCACTCACACCTAGGGACAATTTAGAGTTACCAATCAGCCTAACATGCATGTTTTTGGACTGTGGGAGGAAACCGGAGTACCCGGAGAAAACCCACGCATGCACGGAGAGAACATGCAAACTCCACCCAGAAAGGCCCCTGGACCGGGGTTTGAACCAGGGACCTGCTCGCTGAGAGGCAGCAGCTCTACCAGTTGCGCCACCGTGCTGCCCCATTTTGGATTATATTGTAATCAAAATCATTATAAATATTTTTCATTTTGCAAATGCATAGGAGGTCTCCCTATAAGGGTAAGGTCGCAAGCATCTAAATTATTATTTGAGAAAAGCAAAATGCATGGATTTGACTTGGACAGTTCCAAAGATCCTGATGCAAATATTGTGCATAACTTGAATTAACAATGTTATGGTTTTGCTATATAAAAAAAATGCTAAATCTGATGACATTTTGAGAACCAGAATAAACAAATTATATGCAGGAACAGCTGATTCAGGCTGGTGACAAGAATATAATTTTTCTTTTCTAAAATAAGTAAACATATTTGCGCATCAAGCAAACAACACACACTTAAACATACAGGTAATCTGCAAAGTTTATTATTAAACCTGCATTTACTGCCAGTGTCTCATGGTGAAGTCTTGAAACTAAGACCAACAGCAGACTAGATGAGACTGATTGATTTGACCAGTCTACAAGACAGCTGGCAGTTTACTCTCAGACCAACTGTGCAGGGCAGATGTCAGCTGTTCGCTCAGAAATAATAAAACTGGCTTCTTCGTCTTTTTGTGGCCCAACAAAGCCAGTAGAATACAACTCAATTCAATTCAGTTTATTTATATAGCACCAAGTCACAATCTTAGGGCACTGAACAGAAACATTCATATATAAACATAATTTAACATTATTTATCTGAGGAGCAGACTGCTCCATCGCAGAACTCTTATCTTGAGCAAGCATGAAGGTGACAGTGAAAAGGAAAAACTCCCTCATGATGAAGAAAACTTTAGCAGAACCAGGCTTAGGGCAAACGGCCATCTGCTTCGACCAGCTGGGTTTGAGAGGAATAGATAAACAATGGCAGGTCAAGAATCACATGTTAAGATAGAAATAGCATGAAATGAAAACTACTCAATTTTAACAATTGATTTAAGGAAGTGAGGTCAATTTGTCGTCAGTAGTCTAAGCCTATTAGTATTACTTTATTTTACCAGGAAGAAATCCAATGAGATCATCAATCTCTTTTATAAGGATGTCCTGGAAATATAGCAGCATAACAAGAACCCTAACTATAGCTTTTATCAAAAAGGAAATTCTTAAGCCCAGTCTTAAAACTGGACAATGTGTCAGCCTCACGGACAGAAACTGGAAGTTGGTTCCACAAGAGAGGAGCCTGATAACTGAAAGATCTTCCTCCCATTCTGCTTGTGGAAACTCTAGGAACCATGAGTAAGCCTGCAGTCTGAGAGCGAAGTGCTCTGTTGGGAAATTATAGAACAATAAGATCTCGAATATAAGATAGAGCCAGGTTGTTGAGAGCTTTGTAGGTTAGAAGTAAGATTTTGAATTCAATTCTGGATTTGACAGGTAGCCAATGGAGAGAGGTTTACTAAAACTGGTTCTGGGAGTTAAACTACAGCCTCTGATAGAGGTGTCTGAGCAGAGAACGCTAAGGAAACTGCTTCAGATCCTTAACAATACATCACACCCCCTGCATGCCACACTGGACTCTTACACAGCACCTTCAGTCGTAGACTCAAATCACCGACGTACTCCACAGAATGCCACAGGATGTCCCTCCTCCCTGTGGCTATCAAACTTTTCAACTCCTCCCCTTTTCTACACATAGGACAATAAAATTAGTCCTGCACCACAATAAACACTAGTGGTGTAACGGTACATGTGGGTGTATTGAACTGTTTCGGTACAGCATGTTCGGTTCGGTCCACGTGCGTACCGTTTCGGTTATTTTTTTTCACTCATTAAATTTTATTAACGAGAGATTATGCGCCATGGAACTAAAGTTCCTACGCATGTTTCGGCACGGTGCTATTCTCTTGCAGCACGCGTAGCATTAGCAGCCTAGCAGGCAACGAACAAGCCATCTCGTTGCGGTCTCCTGTTTGGGAACATTTTAACTTTCTTGTTAAAAGACAAGTGAACAAATCCAAAGCTGTGTGTCGACGTTGTTTCACAGAGATTAGATCTGCCACAGGCAACACGTCTAACTTGTTACCGCTCTTGAAACATCATCATCCGAATGTGAACGTAGTTTGGTTCAAAGACCAATAACAGCAGCATTTAAACGACCTTTATCAGGTAATTCTGATCGGTCCAAAGCAGTAACACAAGCTGTAGGTGTTTTTAAAGTTATGGATCTACGTCTGAACGTTGTTGATGCGTCGGCTTTAAGCATAAAGTTCTTGAGCCCCACTGCCTACGACATCCCATCACGTCAACACTTCAGACAAAAAGTTGTAGCAGCACTTTATGAAAAAGCTAAAACCAATATTGTCAACAAGTCCCACACCAGATTTAAAGCCCTGCTACATCGATGATGAGCAAGAGAGGATGTTCAACCACCTCATATGATGACCATGCAAGAAGATGTATTGTTATTGTATTATTGTGAACTAATTAACTTTTTTAATTTAAAATTATAATCTTATTAACTCAATTTTGTTATCTCTGTGTTGTTTGCAGTCTGAGGATGACAGCAGCTGAGTCTTCTCCATCCACCATATCACCTCCAGCTAAGAAGTCTGTAATGACTGAACTTGTTTACTTGGCATATTTTCAAAATAAGCATTTTGTAAGTCTTTATTTTGGCCTTTTTGTACCAAAAATTAACCGAACCGAAATGTGATTTTAGCGTACCGTTACACCCCTAATAAACACTTTTAACATTTCTGTCTGCACCTGACCTATTTCAGACCTTAATTGCTGGTATTTTTATATTCTCTGTTGTTTTTTTATATCTTGTGTGATTCCTTGTGTATGTTCCTTTGTACTGAAACTCTGGCAGAACAATTTCCTGCGGGAACAATAAAGTTATATCTTATCTTATGATCTCTCCTACTAACTCCAATTAAGACTCTGGCAGCAGTATTTTGGATTAACTGAAGACTTTTTAAAGAAGTATTTGGACACCCTGATAATAAACCATTGCAATAATCTAGTCTAGACATGACAAATGCATGAACCAGATTTCTGCATCATTTTTAGATAAGATGTTTCTAATTTTAGCGATATTATGCAGGTGGAAGAAGGCGGTTCTAGTAACGTTTTTAATGTGGGGGATAAAAGACATGCCCTGATCAAAAATAACACCAAGACATTTAACATTAGAACTGGAGGCCAGATTAATGACATCGAAGGTGGACAAAAGACTGAAAAATTTAGTCCTATGACGCTCAGGTCCTAAAACCAAAATCTCAGTCTTGTCTGTGTTCAAAAGCAGAAAATTTAGGGTCATCCAGGTTTTTATGTCTTTAAGACATGCTTGTATATACAATATATAAAACGTCACTCCTTTTTGATCTCATAAACAACAACCAAGCCGTCTGAGATTTTAGAGCAGTATTTAGCAGACTTTAAATTATTGCACTTGCTAAATGCACAAAGTTCATCACACAAAATGTAAACATTCAATTAAAGGAAACTGCGCATTCTAATAAGCCTGCATGCATCTAAACGTTAATGATGGAAAAAGATCTTCCTCAGTTAGCTTTATTTCAGCCATCTCAGCTGTAGAGCTTTTTCAAATGATCATTGGCTAAATAATTATTGGCAACACTACAGGTGTTAATTGTTAGCTCTACTAAGAAACCCCTACTGTTAAGGTGTTGAGGTGTGAATTGTCAAATCTACATATGTATGTGTCTTATCTCACTCAGCCTTATAACCTGAACCCCTCACTCACTGCTCAGTGAATTGAGAAAGCTCCTTGGATGAGGAGCGAAACGTCTTCTGTTACAAATAAAGTCCAGTTGTTTTTTGTATTGAACGTTGTATGAAAGTTAGCTTTACTGTACTTAGCTTGTCTTAGCATTAGCCATTTAGCTACCTAGCTGGGTGTCGTACGAACGCTTGCATTTATGAACCAGTTTCATTAACTTAAAGACGAGAAGCCAGAAACAAAGTTAATAGTGAAGATTTGCATACTGGCTCCAGAACTGTCTGAAAGCATTTAAAATGTTTCACGTTAAATCATTTTAATCCTCAGTTAGCGTCACGTACTGTGGCCTTTCGGGTTAAATCAATTTTTAGCGTTAAACTTAAATCTTAACTGTCTTCAAGAAAACGCACAAACACATGAACGCAAAATTATACTTGATGTAGAATTACCTGACGTTACTCAGGAGTATTTTGGAAGCTAAATTGATCGAAGTTAAACGTCCCAAACCGAGCAGTGACATTGAAGACGCCATGTTTGTTGTTAACACTCGCGTACGGAACCCGCCTAGGGACAAAACGTGCGAAGGAGGAAGAAAATCAATTTGAATGTAAAAACGTTTTTCCTTTTCCACTTTTTATACCGATTTTTTTTCTTGACAACCACTGTGTCCATTTAAATTAATATTTTACATATTACGGTTCAAATCTGAGCAAAGTATTTGTAATTTTTTGTTGATACAAATAAAATTGTTCAAGATTCTTTATTTGTCATTCCCACCATGAAATTGTATACACAGGGTCCCAGTTACATCTAACAATGTATTAAAATTTAGAATAAAACCAGTAATAAGATCTAGGAAATGAACTAATAAAATTGTTAATTAAAAACACACAAAGCACTAGTAGCATAGAAACAATATGCCCAACAGCAGCACAACGTTTACTTTTGTCAAAACACTGTTAGCTCATAAAAGTGAAATATGGCTAAAACACAGTGACCTACTAAACATTGCCAAACAAATCTAAAATAGGCTTAAATAAAACATATTCACACACACACATATATACTCACACACGTATACACACACATATATATGTACATATAGATATATATATATATATATATATATATATATATATATATATATA